GTAATGCAGTATGTCTTGCAGCTCTTGACAATGCCCTTGTCTTTCCCATTCTGTGATCTGAAAGTTACTGTGATTGTAACTTGCTGAAATCTCACCCTAGTATTGGGTTACTATTATTGCTTCAAGGGAGCAAGATGTAAGACAAACCCAACTGCCTGGGAATATGATAAGCCTTTGTCACCCCCAATGCAGTTAGTACTGAAAATAGAAAGAATGGCTGTGATACAGTTATGATTAGGCAGAGATGAGCTATTGTCCAAATGACAGAAACGAATGCAGCAGGCCAAAGATGACCTACCCAGAACCACGAGTTTCTTGATTGCCATTTCTCTTAGAGTTTGATGAAATATTCATGCCTTTGTGCTCTCCTTTCTGCGAGCACTATTGATTTCTTGTATAAATGCTGCTATATTTAGTCTAGACAAATGGAATGTGGATTGCTGCTGAATAAATTGGATGAAAGACTGGGATCTTGCCTGCCGTGTTCTCTCAGTCTTGGGCAATTATTTATAATCAAGAGCAGTTTTTGTAAGTTGAGGGCGATTTTTCACAATTTAGTGATTAGTCTCCGAACAAAGACAAGCAGTTAGGCACAATCATTTCTGTTGGGATAGCAGGTTAAGAAGTCAAATTACCCTTTGAGATTTACAATAACCATTTCAGAGACTTTGGAGATAGTTTTCCTTATCTTTTTTCTTTTTGAAAAAAAAATAAGCATTTGATGTTTGTAGATAATCAACAATAGGAATTCTAATAAGCCAAGACCTCTCTTGAATTTTTACATTTTGTCTTTATAGCGTTAATTTCTGAGCTTTGTTATTGGGATTCCCATGTTTAAAAGTGAAGGCTACAGTTTGACTTTATAGAATGATGAAGTATATCATTAACAGCCATTTGGTTTGGTATTGTGCCAACCCTTTAAGTTAATGCTCAAAATCTCATATTACTCTAGAGGCTTTACTGAAAGTTCTATGTTAGCACAGCTAGGAGATCTTAGAAGCTGTCATCTTTAGTGGCTTTCGAACTAGTCACAACTAATTTATTTTCTTTCTCAAATATGTCTTAGAAGGCATGGTTTATCACACTATAGTTTATTAATAATCAATTTTCCCATTCTCAATGGTGTTTCAGATAACTTCTGACTAATATATTTTAAAAAAATCTGTGTATCGTGGGTGCCAGTGTCTATAATCCCAGCTCTTCAGGAGGTTGAGACCTGGAGGATCACAGTTTAAAAACAGCCCAGGCAATAAAGACGGTGAGACACTTATGTCCAGTTAACTAGCAAAATGCCAGACTATAGGCATGGCCCAAGTGGATAGAGCACCAACTCTGAGAGAAAAATCTGAGCAGCAGGAGCATGAGGGTCTGAGTTAAAACCTGGAACAAAAAAAAAAAATGAAGGGGAGAAGTTGGATTGGTAGGATGTGGAGAGTTGCACTTATCCATGGAATGGTTACTGTTTGAACAACCACTTAATGATAATAAAATATAATTTAGAAAAGAAAAGACGATAATAAAGTTAGCCATCAGTGTAGGTACACCATATAGTTTAAATGTCATGTGAGGGCATTTAGTGCTTCAGTATGTGAAACATTTTCATTTGTAGACAGAGTTTCTGTTAGGCCTTTTAAACTTGTTGAATCATGGTTCCCTAATCCTGAATCTTCAAATCTAAGATACTAATAGGGATGTGGTTAGAATGTCAAGTTACAATTTTGAAAAATGCAGGTAAATACAAAAGAAAGGATCATTCATATTTACCTCCAAATTATAATGATCCTCTGTTATCTGAGCCATCAGACATTGTGAGGAGAATTCGCCAGCTATTGTGACTGAAATCCTGAGTATATATGCTCAGAATTCCAAGATTGAAATTTTTGTCTTTGACTCTGTGTGTGTGTGTGTGTGTGTGTGTGTGTGTGTGTGTGTGTGTGTGTGTGTGTGTGTGTGTGTGTGTGTGTGTGTGTGTGTGTGTGTGTGTGTGTGTGTGAACTCAGGGCCTGAATGCTGTCCTTGAGCTTTTGTGGTCAGGGCTAACGATCTACCACTTGAGATACAGCTGCACTTTGGGCTTTTTGATGGTTAATTAGAGATAAGAGTCTCAAGGACTTTTCTGCCTGACTGATTTCAAACAGTGGTCCTCAGATCGGAGCCTCCTGAGTAACTAGGATTACAGGTATGAGCCACCAATGTTGCCTGGTCCGTCTTCCACTTTTTATTTTTATTTTATTATTATTATTATTATTTTTGTCAGTCGTGGGGTCTGAACTCTGGGCCTGGGCACTGCTCCTTAGCTATTTTAGCTCAAGGCTAGCACTCTACAACTTGAGCCACAGTGCCACTTATGGCTTTTTTCCGCTTGTGTGGTGCTGAGGAATCGAATCTAGGGCCTCATGCATGCAAAGCAAGCACTTTACCTCTGAGCCACCTTTCCAGCCCTGTCTTTCACTTTTTAAATGACCAACCTATGTCTAGAATAAGGGAGGCCTGGGACTTTAAGGGTCAATGAATTTTACAATGTTAATTATATTAACATTGTTTAAATGGTTGTCATAATATAAATGCCACTTTCTATGTCTTTTTCACTTTTATTATAATAGTAATTTTAATATTTTCAAAAACCTTATTTTTAGTGGTTACATATATTTCTACCAAATGGATGTAACATATTTTGTTTAGACATTTTCTTGTAGTAATTTCAATTATAAAAAATAATGCTCCAGTAAACAGTGTAATATTAAACTTTTAAAAAATATCCATTAGAATTACTTCTATAAGATTTAGTTCTAGACATGGCAAGCTTGCATCAAATAATAGTAGGAACATCTGGCACTTCTTGATACATATTACAATATTAATTCTGTCACTTTATATCAATGGTCAGTGCTACTTGCAATACAAAATTTTACATATTACATTCTTATGCTGTACAGTGGGGCATTGTGTACATAGTCACATGTCTAATTCCTATACATAATACTTAATAAATGCATGTGAGTTTTTATTTATAATTTGCAGTTATTTACTAGTGAAGATAAATTCAGCTGCTGAGGTATATGCTTTAATAATGTTTTACAGGTTTTAATGTTTTATTTTCTAACATTTTATAGAAATCACATACCATTTTATTTTCATGTTTGCTCTTTAATATTTTTTGCATTGTTAACTACTAAGTATTGATGGTTTACTGTAATATCTATGAGATTTCCATTTTACATAATAAAAAAATCCACAGCAAAGCTTCCATATATGCAGTGAGCACTTTGAATAGGTGATCCTTTATTGCCATTATTATAATGATCTCCAATTTACTGAGGCCCAGTAGAGTTACGAACTTCCTGGGTTTGCACAGGTAGGAGAACAGGCATGTAGATGTAAAAGCAGAGGTTGAAAGCTAGCAGCCTACGTATTACAGCTGAGTAACAGACTATTTGTTTTCTTCCCAGAACATGTAATTCTTTTGTATAATTTTTCAATTAAAATTTGGTTATTTCTGATTATATTACATGTTTTGTTCACCCATAAATGGTTAGATCTGAGTAGCGACTTTCTCCTTTTGATTTGATATCTTACCTATCCACATTTTCTTCCAAAAATCTCCTATTTTGTTAATATCAATTATTTTGCTTAATTGAAGACTTTCTTGATTCCTTGAGGTGATACTCATACTGAAAATAGTTAACTACAGGTTTGGGATAGGCACTGACCAATCAGAATGCACGCCAGCCATAAAAGTCTGGAACTTCTAAATATCTAGCCAGTTTGTAAACTTTCTTGAATAAACCATTCTTTTAGGAGCATTTATGTTCAGCATTTTAAACACATTGCCTAATTTAATTTTGAGTAATTTAAATATTATCTTCTGTAATTATCCGAAGATCGTCTTCGTATGTTCTGATTAAATACATTTTAAGTTCCCCATACATTTTTCTGTCTAGTTTCTTTTATGAATGAAGTTACTGAGATACACATGATCACTCTTTAAACACTAGCCCTTACAAACTCAGACACTGTCACTCAGTATTTAGATCTGGTTCCTTTGCTCTTGTTGATTCCATTTCTCGTATTGTAGTCTTTCTCTGCTAAGTCTCAAAGTACTAAAAATACATTTCAATTCAAGCTTAAGTTTTTAAGGTAGAATGATCTGATGCTGATTACAAAACGAATGTTCATAAGTGCACACATTGAATGGTTGCAGAATTTCTCTCTTATATAACATCTTTCCCTTATCATTACACTTCTTGGTACTAAGTTGATTTAATTTGGGTAAGTTCTTCAGTAGAGTAGGGTGTGTGTGTGTGTGTGTGTGTGTGTGTGTGTGTGTGTGTGTGTGTGTGTGCGTGTGCACACATGTGCTTCTACTGGGGCTTGAACTCAGGGTGTGGGTACTGTTCCTGAGCTTTTGTGTTCAATACTAGCATTCTACCACTTGACATACAATTCTACTTTCAGCTTTTTTGGGTGGTTAATTGGAGGTAACAGTCTCATGGACCTTCCTTCTCAGGCTAGCTTTGAACTGTGATCCTCAAATCTCAGCCTCCTGATTTGCTAGGATTACAGGCATGAGCCACTGGCACCCAGCTCAATGCAGAAGTGTTCTTTCATTTATTTTTTTCTAGTCCTACAGCTTGAACTTAGGGCCTGGACCCTTCCTCTGAGCATGATCATGGCTAGCATGCTGCTATTTGAGCCATAGCTCCACTTCTAAGAATATGTTTTGTATTTGGCTTTCATACTAGTAAATAATTGAATCTCTCTTTGATTTGAAAAAGCAATGTACATAATTCTTGGTAGAATACGAATTGTTGAATAAAAATTTGCAGATGGTCTCTTTATCAAAATCACTTACACAGAAACCTTTTTATCATTATAAAAATGTCACACTCACCGACTTGAATTTTACTGTGCAGTGTATAGTATATATATGTATTTACCCCCTTAGTCAGTATACTGAGTTTCTTTATTCTCCTTTCTCTTGCTTCTTTCCTGCTGTCCAGTGGATGTGAAGTCAGAGGTCCCTGTGGGCCTGGAGCCCATCTCACCTTTAGACCTAAGGACGGACCTCAGGATGATGATGCCAGTGGTGGACCCTGTTGTCCGGGAGAAACAACTGCAGCAGGAATTACTTCTTATTCAGCAACAGCAGCAAATCCAGAAGCAGCTTCTGATCGCAGAGTTCCAGAAACAGCATGAGAACTTGACACGACAGCATCAGGCTCAGCTTCAGGAGCACATAAAGGTAGCAAATGTGTCTGCTTCTGACCTTTTCAGTGAGGGTGTCTGCACCACGACATGAGCATAACAAGTAAGAGTGTCTGCACCACGACATGAGCGTAACAAGTAAGAGTGTCTGCACCATGGCATGAGCGTAAGAAGCCCCCAGAGGAGCACTGAAGGGGGAGCTGCACTGTGATTATCACATGGCGCAGTAACGGGAAGGAAATGGTGTTTGTCCTGGTGGAACCCTTGGAAGAGAATCTAATAACCTGCTGGGCTTTTTCAGAGGCTTCTCCTGCCTTCCTATCCTTTAGCTTGCGTTGAGTGGTCCTAGGGAACAGGAGCTTCTTAATCTTGTTTGAGTGTCTACCATATGTTCTTTCTTCCCATATACTCACAACCAACAGGAGCCACGAGTCCATAAAATTCCACTTCATGTTTCTAAAGAATCCGCATGTACTATTTATCAGAAAGGATATATTTGATTCTTTATGTAAACAGAGAGCTCACTGGTTTTATATTCAATCTTTGGTCAGCAAATAAATGTTCTGAGTATGCGCTCATCTTTCTTATAAGAAGGATTTCATAGAATACAGTTTCAAAAATCACAGCATAATAAAAGTTCAGTGGGATTTATATGGAGAAACGTGAAAATATTTCAATTTTTATAGACTGTAGATAACAATTTGTTGAAAGAATTTTGAAAGTAGTTGACATTTGAGAATCAAGTTGTTTAAATTATTCCTGGAGAAATGTATATATATCTGAATTTTTTATGATACAGCTTTATTATTTTTGATTATTTTAGATATGCTTATAGAGTTATTTCTTTTTTTGTGTGTCTTCATAAAGACATACTATTTTGGCTTTGTCTACATTTATTGTCAATGAATTAACAAAGACATTAAAAATGAGGGTGGTTTAGTTTGATTTTAAAGAGATACTAAATTCAGTGTGTTATAACAGCATTATAAAAGCATAAGCATAGTTAGAGGTAGGGACTCAAGCTGGTATAGCAAATATGAGACCCTGAGTTCAAATCCAAGCACTGCAAATAAAAGCATAAAATATTTATAATAAAATTATTTATATATCCAACTGTTTCAGAGCATGTAAATATATATCAATATAATAAATTATGATTATATTACATTTTGCTTTATTAAACTCTATTCTTCTAGGCACTTAATATATCACTTGCATATCAAGTACAAGCACCCGAATGTGTTACTAATATGGAAAACGGATCTTTGTTAATACTATATAGTTTTATTATGTTAATGTTACAATGTCTGATAAGGTAAAAATATGTTCCTTTTGTTCCTTATTTTATAAGATATTTTCTTAAGCTGGAAGGCCTGTATTATTTTATTTTGCCTAACAAAGCATCTTCATCACTTGTTAAACTTAACTAAAATAACTTATACATAGTATTGATACCTCAAAAACAGTCCTGAGAGGTGGCTTATGGTAATAATCTTAGCTACTTGGGAGGCAGATATTGGGACAATCATAGTTTGAAACCAGCCAGGACAAAAGAAAGTAAAAGTTAGTGAGACCCTCCTCTCAGTGAAAAGGCGGGGCATAGTAGTGAGCATCTGTTGTTCTGACTCAGCAGGATACATAACAGAGGACACTCACAGTCCAGGGTAGGCCAGGCAAGAAAAGCCACACCTTATCTGAAAAATAATTAAAGCAAAAGAGCTGGAGTTTGGCTCAAGTAGTAAAGTGCCTGCCTGGCAAGCACAAGGCCCTGATTTCAAATCCCTACCACCCGTCACCCGCCCTACCCCTGTGCCCCCGCCACACACACAAAGAAAAATTAAAAATAAATCTGTGTGCATACTCAATCCTACAAACCTTGCTACTTGGGAAGTAAGAGAATAGTAGGGCAAGGTTCAAGGCCAGTGTGGGCAAAAAGTTCACCATACCTCATCTCAATTAACAACTGATAGTTTTGGCCCAGGTCTGTCATTTCAGCTGTGAGGGACGCGGCAGGATTATGCTTCCAGTCCAGCCTGTACAAAAATGTTTATGAGACCCTATCACAATAGAAAAAGACAGATATGATAGAATGAGTGCCTGCCAAGCATCTGTAAAGGCTTAGGTTCAAACCCTAGTACTACCAAAAAACTAAAATAAAGTGAAAACAAGACTGAGGATCTTGTGAAATCAGTAGCTCATGACTACATTTTGAAACCTGAGAAATCTTTCTTTAGTTAGTGAATTTATATTGGAATAAATGCTGAACATGATTTCAAATTGACCTTTAAAACAATAATCGGAACATTGCTGTCTAGATGTCTTTCCAGGCATGTTAGGTTGGCATAGATGCTCCAGAGAATTTCTCTTCTTCATTGTAGTTTAAGATCTAAAGAACTGGAAGGTCCATTTACTGCCCCAAGTGAGTCACGTTTTCCTGACTAGTGGGCAAGGCTGATGAGCTATTAGTACTATTAGTTAATCATCTTTAAGTGTTTTATCCTTTATACTTAGTGTCTGCTGTGACTTCAAGATTAAGGTATTTATTAGTTGATTATACTCAAAAGCCAATAACACAAGTAGATTTCTCAGTTTTTTTAGTTGCCACAAACACAGTGAGTCGATTTATTGACATCTGGAAAATGTTGGAAAAGAAGCTCTTAAGAGAATAAGGATTATGAGATAGCTAAGAGGAAAATTTAGCTTCTAAAGTGATTTTCCAAAGTAATAAGTTCTTTTCTCAAAAACTGAAGACATATTTAAGACTTCCTTTTTAAAATTTGGAAGTTGTTTGCTTTTTTTTTAGCTTTTTATTTTATTTTGTTTTGACACTTTCTTATGGGTGAGGCTAAAAGCTGATGCTTTTAACATTCAGATAGATTTTATGTGTTAGATTTTATGTGTATGAGGAAGGTAGGATGAGTGATTTTTGAGTCTTGGGCTTCTGTAATGATCACCATCTGGTGTTGGATACTATTATCCCATTTTCCATCTAGTACACTAAGGTACAGAGAAATCATGTAGGTTTCCATTCCATACTAAGCTACACAGCTGGTGTGCACTGCTCCAAGATTTGGAGTCTTGCCTTGTTTGCCCTCATGTCCCTAAATCATTCTGTCAAGTTCAAGGGCCAGAACATCTGGAAACAGAGGGTAAAGTTTTATTTCTGTTTTATTTAAACTTCTCGCTGCCAATCTTTGCAGTTAATAGTTATGGCAATTAAAAACTGTGCTTTTTATATCATTATAAAGTTCAATTATAATAAGATTTGGATAAAGCACTGGGTCAATTTGGCCAATATCTGTATAGAATTATCATTAAAACAGGGTACAGTTAGAGTTATTGATTTCATTTTTCTTGGTCCTAGGGATTGAACCCCTAGTCTCCCTTATGCTAGACAAGCACTCAATAGCTTGATGCAAGCTCTCAGCATTTTGATTGTTTGTTTATTGAGATAGTGTCTCCCTAGCTTTGCATAAACTGGTGTCTAACTTGTCATCTTCCTGTCTTTATCTCTTAAGTAGCTGAGATTATTGGCTTCTACTATCTTCAGCCTCAGGGTTATAATTCTCTTGTGTGTGTGTCCAGTTGTTTTCAACTTTAATTTTTTTATGGTCAAGGTGATGTACAGAGGGGTTACAGTTACATAAATAAAGTAATAAGTACATTCTTAAGCAATGGTAGACTATCTAAAAGAGTATCATTTGTGTGTTTGGTGTATCGAAGTCAAAACTTCAATATTTTCTATTAAGAGCCACCTTTTATCATAAAGAATAATCAGAAATTCTCCTAAAGATATTCTTTGGTATTGGTGAAGCTATGATGATGGACCAACAAAGCTTCCTGCTTGCTGTTCCAGAGGGGGCCTGAAATCAATGTATAGCTTTTTGATTTGTGTTCTTTTACTTTCTGGGATATGTTAGAGTTTTAGGGACCACTATAATAAAAAAAATGCATGAAATGTTACAGATTTACATGTTCAAGCCTAAAAATTAATTTTCTATCCTTATGAATGTGATATGTGAAAGAGGGTTTTTTTTGTTTTTGTTTTTTGTTTTTTTTTTTAATCTTACATATGATATGCCAAGGTTCTGAGTGGCGGTTAAGTAACATCTAGATCTCACATCTACACTCAATAGAAATCTTAAATCATTCGTAATCCCTCAGTGGGCACACTTAGTAGTCTTCATAGATGGATATTTCTCAGTCTGAAAAAAAGAATCATGTTTTTCATTATTTGATGATGAATTCAGGGGATTCAGAAAGACAAACAGCAACATATTAAAGTATAGTTTTATTGAAATGATTTCATTTAGATCAGTGTCTTGAATCTAAATTTTTATGTGCTAAATGAAAGATTAAAGACTTCTCCTATTTTGAAAAAGAACCCATTATAGATATGCAGAGTGCCTTACTTAGTCTGTTGAGAACTTTCTCTGTAAGGTTCTGAAATTGTTCATCTTCATTCTATTTCAAGTAGACTTCCCCCAATTGTCACCCATATCTCACCATCATATTCACTGTGATTATTTTTACACCATTTCCCAGAGTAAGAACTAAAGATTTCAATTGTTTATTTATAATGCAGAGAACTTTGTAAATAGACCTGTGGTGGCTTTTGCCTGCACATAGATTTCATATACACGAAAGAAGGTTAGTAGGAGAATAAATATTTAACTGACAGACACCAGTGGGACTTTGGTAATTATTTTTTACAGAGTGGCAAAGGTAATGGAGTTACCTAAAAACTTGCTCGTGGATGATTTAAGACCATCATGTCATTAGTGGCTTGTTTTCAGTTTTAAATAGTTCTTTAAAAATGAGTTGATAAAAATATATGCTAAGTAAAAATTCCAAAAGCTAATAAGACTTTAAAATTTGGGGTAGTCAGAGATGACTATGAAGCGTAAAGAAATTGCACACTCTCATGTCTTTCTCTTCTCGCAAGTTGCAACAGGAACTTCTAGCCATAAAACAGCAGCAAGAACTCCTAGAAAAGGAGCAGAAACTGGAGCAGCAGAGGCAAGAACAGGAAGTAGAGAGGCATCGCAGAGAACAGCAGCTTCCTCCTCTCAGAGGCAAAGATAGAGGACGAGAAAGTAAGAGGAACCAGGGTAAAAGATGGACTCTCTCCCCTCATCTCTAGTTGATCGTCATAGAAAGAAGACTTAGCATGGAATGAAACTTGTCAAAACTGTGTGTTTAGTTCAAGTAATAAATTTCGGACTCAAATGTACAGCTCTAACATTCTCCTACTGGCTCTTTATTCGGTCTGCAGCACATCACAAGAAGTAAACACATGTTGGCACAGCTGTGAATTTTTATTTTTGGACCTTAAAAATAATGTCATGCTAAAGTAATCCCATGTAAGATATCTTGTTTAATAATGAAGTTATGCCCACATCTCCATACTATGCCTAGCTTCTGCCAGTCCAAGTAATTGCTCTGTAAGTCACACCTGGCCTGCGTTTAATTTCTCTGTACTCAGACTTGGGAAGATTTAAGGCAGAATACTTGCAAAAGAACTATCCACAAGAGGGAGACAGATCCAAATAATTCATCATCATTAGGTCAGTTCAAACTCAGGTCGCAGCAAGGTTTAAAACTCAATGACTCAAACTGAAATTTTCAGCAATATTTATTTGTTTAATGCTCAAAGGATTTTTTTTAAATGTTAAGTTTCTCAAACTAGAAACTTGGACAGATCATTGTACAAGGATCTGCTGTGGTACCCCAATACACCTGGTTGTTTTTTTAATAGTGTATTATTCCTCAACAGTGATTTTTAAACTTAAAAATTGTTATTAATTCTAGAGATCCTCTTTCTGCAAAAGCAATTAGAGAACTCATTGAAAGTCTTTTGAAATTGGCAATTTAACTAAAAGTTGCAGAGTACTGTGCTATTTTAAAAGACCTCTTCAGATTCTGATTTCTTTCTCTCTTTCTTTCTTTCTTTCTTTCTTTCTTTCTTTCTTTCTTTCTTTCTTTCTTTCTTTCTTTCTTTCTTTCTTTCTTTCTCTCTTTCTCTCTTTCTCTCTTTCTCTCTTTCTCTCTTTCTCTCTTTCTCTCTTTCTTTCTTTCTTTCTTTCCTTCTTTCTTTCTTTCATTTGCTAGGATGATTTCATATGCTGTGCCCAGTGAAGTTACTTCTTAGTCTCTGTTAGATTATGTGAGGGCATAAGAGGACAGAGCTCACACCCACATCTGTTTCTGTGTGTGTTTCAGGAGCTGTGGCAAGCACAGAAGTAAAGCAGAAGCTTCAAGAATTCCTGTTGAGTAAATCAGCAACAAAAGACACTCCAACTAATGGAAAAAATCATTCCGTGAGCCGCCATCCCAAGCTCTGGTACACGTATGTTCACTGTTTGGCTGCTTTCCTTCCCTGGGGTAGAGTACAGATTCTCTATTTAGCTGACCTGGGTATAAATTCTGGGCCTACCATTTCTCAGTTGTATAGCTGTGGCAAGTTCCTGGAATTCTCTATCAGCTTCCTTCTCCATTAAGAAGGAGATAATGATGGAACCTGCATTCCAAGGGGACTGGGACTGTCCTATGGGAGAAAAATATGTCAAAGTAACGAACAACATTGTTTAATATGTGTTAGCATTTATCACTCGGAGGACAAGGGAGTACTATATATATTCTTCGCGGAATGAAAATATGGCATATGAGATGGGGCAGAGAAGTTAATTTGTATTTTGCATTTTTCTATTTTCAGATGGTACATCTGATATTTATCCATAATCTCTGGAGCTTTGGCAGATCGTGACTTTATTTTACTTTACTTGGTTTGATGTAAAATGGAAGTCAGAGCTATTTTGAGATGATCAGATGATTTTTGACTCAATTTTTTTTAAAGGATAAAAGGAAGATAAGGAAGGGAAAGGAAGAGGAGGGATGTAGCTAAACAAATCTAAGTCCTTAGTAACTAGCTTAACCCTGTGCTCTGTATCTTATTTTATCCTATCTAGTAAAAGATCATTTGGCTTCTGACACACAGACTGACAATATAGTACACTGTGGTATTCCTTTTTTTTTTTTTTTTTTTTTTTGGTCAGTCATGGCGCTTGAACTGTGGGCCTGGGTACTGTCCTTCAGCTCTTCAGCTCAAGGCTAGTATTCTACCACTTGAGCCACAGCACCACTTCTGGTTTTCTGGTGGTTTATTGGAGATAAGAGTCTCATGGGGTTTCTTGCCTGGGCTGGCTTTGAACCATGATCCTCAGATCAGTCTTCTGAGTAGCTAGTATTACAGGTGTGAGCCACCAGTGCCTGGCTGTGGTATTATATATTTTATACGTTCTAATTTTCCCAAGTACATTAGAAATATTATATAATTTTCTGCTCTATAAAATATAAAGGATGGGATTTTTTAAAACAGAACAGATACTTGATAAATAAATTACATTTAGATAATAGGCTAACAGATGATCGCATCAGTTCTCTCAGAAATGTGTTTGGTGAATGATCATATGATTTTTATATAAATATATTTTTGTTCACTCCCATTTTTAAGGATAGCTAGCAAAAAATTAATTACCCTGTTTTGTTGGGGGGAATTGTGAGAGTCTGTAAGACAGATTTATTGTTTCGTATCTGTCTATTTTTAAGGTATCTTCCCTTCTCTGTATCAAAAAATATATATAAGCAGATAAATGCCAGTAAATTTGAGACATTTAAGACAAATTTGAGTTGAGTGATTTCTGTAATTTCTGTCATACATGTCTGTTGACTTGAGAAATCAGTTAACAAATGTTTTCACATGATGAATCATCACAAAGTATTTTAAAAGAATACAGCTTTGTTACCTTAATATACTTATTATATAAAATTTACTTATAATTCCTTTAAAATTAAAGCTGGCTTTAAGAAAATATAATACTATTTTATAGTGAGAAAACTTATATGCAAATAAATTATCAGCTGAAAATCCTTTTGCTTTTCTTTTGATCTTATGAAACATGGCTCCCTCATGTTAGTGATCTTCTCTTTCTCATATGGAATTGAAGTTCAGTAGGGTTCAACTCTATATAACCATAAATCAGTAATGTAAGAAATTTCAATTTAATACCATCATTTACCAGTTATAGGTACATGAAATATACTTGCTTATTCTTGAGAATGCATTTCTCAAATAAACATTATTTCTTGAACATTTGTGGTGGTACTGTGCACTCTGCATTGTCTTCATTCTACATAATAATTGTGGATGTCCATCTCTACTGGCCATTTTATTTTCAGTTGTAAAAACTATGCTCTAATACCACAACTTACTTTTCTCAGTGTAGTCACCAATTTAACAATATTAGTTTCATATTGTTGAAGAATGTGATCTCTGTTCCAAATCTTCAGAACCCCTATAGAAATCAGACCTGAGAATAATGGCACAAAGCTGGCTTTTCAGTTGCAAGTTTGTCCTCATGTGTGAGGTTATGCAATCTAGCAAGTGATGTACTTGTCATATTTACTCTTACCTTGGTGGTCCAACATGGTTGACTAAAAATAATCAAAAGCGGAGCTTTTTAGAAGTGTGCCTACTGAGAAAATCATACACAAAAATCTCTGATTTTGAAAAACCTATAGCAAAGTGAACTTTGTGACTGTATGACCAGACACAATGGGCATTCTTAGGAATCTAGCATCAGTTCCTAACATCCTCGTATAGTGAGTATGGTTACAGGAGCTGTGTTTTGTAAATGCTAAGAAACAGGCCTGTAGACATAGCCGAGGCATGTGGACAGCATGTGTAAGTGATTATTGCAAGCAACATGCACAAGAAAGTCCCATGTCAATGGAGAACCTTCTTTGTTCTTTGTAGGGCTGCCCACCACACATCTTTGGATCAAAGCTCACCACCCCTTAGTGGGACCTCTCCATCCTACAAATACACCTTGCCAGGAGCACAAGATGCCAAGGATGATTTCCCACTCCGAAAAACTGGTAAGTCTCCTTAAACAGAACCCCACTTGCTCTCCAAAACATGCCTGTAGCTCCATTTTGTTCATCTGTCACTGAAAAACAGTTGGAATTGCAAAAAAAAAAAAAAAAAAAAACCCAAAAGGTTGAATTGCAAATAGTATAACTCCCACTGTTATAAGCATGAAAAAACTTCCCTGTAAGCACATGCGCGTGCGCACACACACACACATACACACACACACACACACACACACACACACACACACACACAGACACACAATGATCTCTCTCAAATTTCCACATTAATCCATTATATAACCAACATGTTTTTTTTTAATTTAAGTTATTATTATTATTTATCATGATTATTTTGGTATTAGCAATAAAGGATAGAATAAAGGAAAATAGAAATTGATTTCTCAGAAATTCTGTTATCCATTAGCAAACACCTTTAATTTCCTCCCTTATTCATTTTCCTTTTTGGCTTGTCTGATATTTATTTTTATTTTAGTTAGTTAATTAATTATTTTGTGCCAGTACAGGGGCTTGAACACAGGGTCTGGACGCTGTCCCTTAGCTTTTTCATTCAAAGCTCAAATCCAGTTCTGGCTCCTTGGTGGTTAATTAGAGATAAGACTCTCATGAATTTTCTATATGGCTATCTTCAAACTAGGATACTCAGATCTCAGCCTCCTCAGCAGCTAGAATTACTGATGTGAACTCTTGGTGCCTGGCTTAACAAAACATTTTTTAGTTTTAAATTTTATTTTATTTTTTTGTCAAAAACAGGTGAGACCAAGACTCCATTTTGACTTGACTAATGCTTTAGGAACCTGCAGAACTCAGAATTAAATTTATCCCTGAATTTTAATTTTGTATTAAAATTTGGTTAGGGAAATTAGAATAGTAAAGCTTCTACTTACAATTTTAAAATCAGTCCTTATCTCTAAGACCTGTATTTCTTTTTCAACTTTTTCTCCATTGAGAACACCTGAATATGTGTATATTTAATGCTCTCAGACTATAAATTAATCTATTCAACATTAGGTAGATACACACTTAAATAGCACTTGTGCTCATTCTGTTGTACATTTTTTTTATATATACAGTTCTTAAGAGACAGTTGCCAATGTAAAAAAAAATGTTATATCCACAACTCATCTATAAAGGTATTCATAGATGACATTTTAGTCTCTTCTACTTAACTCATCTTCTTGAAGAATTTTAGATCTCTGTAATTTGTGTGTAAAATCTACAGTGTGATAATGATTCCAAATGATTATATTCATTTTCCCAAGTAATTTCAAGTAATTAAAATGGATATAGATTGTAAAAACACACGCTGAAGCTATTTTCTCTCATATAATTTACCTATAGCATAATGAAGATTCAAAAATAATGCCAATCATGATTAAGAATTAATTACCCACTAGGTAGTTTATATTGTAGCAAGCAGTGAGTATGGGTGTCTAGGTATTGTAAAGCAACCTTACCGTTAAATTTTTCTTACCTAAAGATTTTTGCAGTTTTAAGTTAATAAATATAAGATTTTGTTCAGGAGAATTCTATGCAAAGGTGAGAATGATAGTGTTTCATGCTTTTCATAGAATTTACTCAATTACCCACAAATCATGTTGCTTTTCTTATGAATAAAGTTCTCTGGGATAAAAGATGGAAGAAAGCAAAGAGTAAGCTTTTATGTATTTCTAAAACATGGAATACTGTTAATGAAAATTGATCTCTAAATGACATGAGAGTTAGAATGTGAGGACTTTGATCTACAGCTTTGATATTTAGTTGTTTCGGTGGCAAGTATAGGAGCTACTGATAGAGATTATAAGGGTATTGCCCAGTTCTCAAGGCAGGGACTAGTATGTAAGAGCCCAAGGCATCCCTAAAAGGAAAGAAAATATGAGTTCTCTTATAGCAGAAGGTTTCTGATGAGTGATCCAGTTACATTCACAGAGAAAGACTTGTGTCCTGCTGGGCACACAGCCTTTGACTATATTCTTACCACAGGGAGCTTGAAAACTGAGTACAGAGCTTAATACTACCTTTGACAAGAAGTGGCATTTGGGACTCTTAAGCATCTAGAAAGAAAATGTGGTCATTTTCAAAACTTAGAGCAAGTACTAAAATCCTTTACTTTATATCCTACTGTTTCCATGAAAACAGCTTAGGGTTTCTTCCTCTGCAAAGAATGAATAACAAGCTGTTAATTTAGTCTCATTGAAATTCTGAATTTACAACAAAAACCAAGGAGGAATCATGCTGAAGATATATGTCACACACTCTCATCCAAATCTACAAAGATGCAAGACACTTTCTGCACCCATTTATGTGATATATATGTATCTGTGTATGTATGTATATATATATATATATATATATGTGCAAAAATCCCTGGCTTTTTTGTCATATATTTTCTGAATTTACACCATATTTCAAAATTCTTCCTTTTATATTGAAAACCTGATATTTATGAAGTGTCAGGCTGTTGATCTGTAAAACTAAACATTTTCAAGCATTTTAGTTATAAAGTTCTCATGCAGCCGTTAATGCTTTAATATCTCTATAGGGGTTTCAAAATATTAGTAATTCAATTCCCATTGTCAGTTTAAGGAAAGTATGATATAATTAAGTGCAGATGTTTTCTACACACTATCTAAAGTACTTAGAGACACCCTTCATTAATTACAAATAGGCGGAACTCTTCTAGTGCTTAGAAATGTAATCCATTTGGTGTTTTGCCAATTCTATTGTCTATTATATTTAGACATATACTTGTACTCAGAAGAACACTGCAATATCATCACATCATAATATTTATTTCAGCATTTGTTGAATGTCACTAACTCTAAAGTCATTACAAAAAAGTAAACAATAAAAATTTGCCACAATAGAACATAAGTGGCTATTGGGGAAACTGTTTAAAGTTAATTTTGTGTGAAGCTACATCACATTAAATGGAGTCTAAAGTAGAGTAATAGATCACAGAGGAAAAAATTACCTGGACAGCTGTTTTATTGGCATCATGCTTTGCCAATAGAGCCAGAATTTCAATCTCTTTTTTCTACTTGAATTTCACTGAACTCAATTTTAGACTTAAAAGAAGTTATTAAGTGAGTGGACTCTATCTTTTGATCTGCATATAATACTACATACTCTTTCTTTTTATTTAACATCAGTTCTGAATTACTAATCTGTGTTAGCAAGATTTAAGAGACCAAAACTGGAACCAGAATAAGCAAAGTTGTAGTGACCTTAAATAGATTAAGGTAGCCCCGGGGGTGCCCCTTAAGCAGTGAGCACAGTTTGGAACCTCTCGACCTTTTAGGACCCCCTGCCCCAGCCAGTGACCACCAAGAACAGTTAACTATAGAAGCTCATTTGCCTGCAGAAATCTGACCTGTGTCATACAAAGTAGGACCTTTACTTCCTTCCCCTTAGGAGAATTATTGGTGTCCCTGGAATCTGGGTGTTTTCAAGTATCAGAATATTACTAATAGTTGTCTTTAATCATGTCAGTTTATGGTCCCCTTACTTTTCAAATTTAGGAATTTTGTGGTTTTTGCAGCTTTCACAACAATGAACAGCAAGGGTTTCCCATTATTGGTTTTGAAATTAATATATATGGTTTTTGCTTGCTCAAAATTAGTGCTTACACTACAATTCTTTTTTGTTTAATAACACAAAAATATGTTGATAGGGAAATTTGGATTACTTTACTGACCTTTATCCTTTAGCTAAAAATAGCATTGTTACTGCCATAAATGATTTTCCTCCATATATAATCCATGCTGGATTCACGATAAACTATAAAGTAGAGGAACAAAGCTTCTAGATCTTCCAAGAACTTTTGAAATATTACCTATTTGTCACAGAGATACTGCTGCCTTTGTGTAACTTTGAACTGACCTTCAAAATCATTTAATTTGGATTCTGTTCCAGTGAGTGTACATATGTTTCGTAAAACATCATGGTGAAAAATTCTAGAGGTTTTATACTCCATTATATTATCGAGGTCTTACCCAGTGAACTTTGCCTTTCTTTAAATATTACAATCTTTCCATTTAATACTTTTGAACAAAGAGAGTTGGCTGGATAGATTAACCTCTTAAAGTGCAAAAGCCATATAAAATTTGGCTTGCGCTGAATAAGATTGTTCCAGCCCTACTGAAATATTCATTTTAATGGTCAGCAACACTAGAATAAGACTCAAAGATGGAAGAGGTCCAAACATAAGTTAAAGTTTTGGAAGGCCAATGGCATTTTCCACATTGAGTAAGTTGGAAGAGAGGCAGAGACGAGATATATGGCTTTATAAATTTCCCTCTGTGTAGCAGTCAGCAGTTACGGTTGTGGTACCTTGGTGACCTTTTCAAGTTATAATCCAAAATTAACAGGAGGAGAATTTTTAAATGCCTTGCAGAATCTCCCTAATCCTTCTTCTTTTCCTCCTCTTTCTTTTTTTCCTTCTCCCTCCCTCCTTTTCCTTGTTCTGTTTCTCTTTCTTTTTCTTCTCCTTTTCCTTCTCTCTCCAGTTCCTCCTCCTTCCTTCTACCCACTTCTTCTGTCTCCCCACTTTCCCTCCCTTCCTGAGTCTGTCTCATAGTACAGAAACACATGTGCTCACATACATGAACATGCACACTGCTCTGCAAAGATAGCACTAAGTAGCATCCATGCCCATAAAAATATTTGGTCACATCACAATCTTATCCTGATGGGCAAACACTGGAACAATTTCCTATATTTTAGTAGCCTGTCTTTGACACATTGTTGTGACAAATCTTAAAACTCTTGACACATATTCCTTAGGTTAATTTTTACAATAGTGTTCCTCAAACTTGAAAGGCAATGTTGCACGGTGCCAACCAGGCTTTGAAATCTAGGTTCTCTTAGGTAGCGTAAATGCTCTGAGCTATGATTCTTTTTTTCTGCAATATAGGTATTATAATTGCACTGAGTTCATACAGTTAGCTTGGGGATTCAATGACCTACTGTACGTATAGCATTTG